AATTTATTTTAATTTGGAAGTCTTATCAACACAGACTGGCTTCATTCACTTCCTCCACTGCCGTATGCTAAAATAACAAGCAGACACTGCACAGAAAGTCGACCTTGTCGTTCAAAACTTCTCCTCCTGTTCTCTGATTGGCCCGAACGAAATTCTCCTGAAGAAATAATTGTCTATGGGAGAARTCCCAGACGGAGCAGTGAAGGGAAACTAGAATTGAGTGGAGGTGCGTAGGAAGGCAAGGRCCAGGCTATTGATTTGTTGGATCTCCTTCCAGAATCTTTATTTTCTTGTCTTGTTTTCATCTCGTTTCTGTCCTCAGGTCCTCCCCAGGATCTGGCGTCCAGGAGTCAGTCTCTCCAAAGCATTCGGACCTCTCGCCTCCTCCAGCAGCAGCAGCAGCAGCAGATGGTCCAGATGAATTCTGTTCAGGGCCAAGGAGGCTCTGTGGGACCCCAGACCGACATGGGACTACCGTATGGTGCCCAGGGGTCCAACCAGGGTTCCCTGTACGGACTCAGCTCCATGAGCCAGATGATCCACCAGCAGCAGAACCAAAGCGTCCAAGCCTCAATGGGTCTTCCACCGCAGCACAACCCCTCCGGAGGGCCGCCCCGGCAGGCAGGTGCAGGTCCCGGTCCTGGTCTGGGAGGCATGCCTGGGGGCCCCGGGAGCGGTGCAGCCGGCGGGTATGGAGGACAGGGCATGATGATSAACTCCATGACCCAGCAGCCCCTCAAAGGCCCCCCGACTGCTAAAGCCCAGACCCAGAGACTGCAGAGCATGCTGGGAGCTGGAGGCGGCAGCGGGGSGATGGCGGCGGGTGGCTGGCCACAGCAGCAGGGACAGAGTCTGCAGGCCATGGGAGGAGGAGTGGGAAGGACTACAGGAGGAGGTGGGGGGGACATGGTGGGCTTCAGTTCCTCCCAGGGTTACGGGATGCAGCCGGGTCAGCCCCCGCGCATGGCCAAGCAACACTTTCCAGGAGCCGGGCAGGCGAGTCAGGGCRTGGACCCTAGGGTGGGCAACCCCGCTGCAGGCATGGGCAGCCCCATGATTGGCCCTCACATGGGGGGTCAACCCAGGACCAACCAGCCCCGACCCATGGTCTTGAGCCAGGGGATGAACCAGGGGATGATGGGTCAGGGGATGTCTGGGATGGGGGGTTTCGGTCCGGGCCCTGGAGGCCCAGGAATAGGGGCAGGAGGAGGTGGAGGTGGTGGACCCTACGGACCAGCGGGAGTTGGCGGTCAGCCTCAGGGCTACCAAAGGACAGCCAATCAGGACATGTCTTCTTATGGATACGGGGGCGGGCCCTCAGGCGGGGGAGCGTTCGGGTTGGGCGACGGCTCGGGGGCGGAGCTGGACTCGAGCGACGGTTGGATGGACGAACTTTTCCAGAACCAATAGCCAACGGGGAAACTTTCCCCAAACAGAACTGAACCTTGTAGTCGGACAAACCCTGAAAAAAAAAAAGAAAACAAAAAGGATGAGAAGAGAAGAAGAGGCATGTTTTGTTTTGTAAAACATGAGAAAGGTTATAAATGAGTTCCTGTGTTCTTATGTTTTCTGTGTCTGTCTGTCTGTGTGTGTTTGAGTTGGAAAGAGCTCTCCTCTGCAGATTAATGCAAAACAAGACAAGGGTTATGATGTGTGTGTGTGTGTGTGTCTGTGTGTGTTTGAGTTGGAAAGAGCTCTCCTCTGCAGATTAATGCAAAACAAGACAAGGGTTATGAGGTGTGCTTCGTTAGTTTCAATTTTTTTTTCACCATGAAATGAATCTGCTTCGTCTGGCATTGCAGCGCTTTGAGCTCCAGTTGACTCAAAACCACAAATTGATGAAGGAAAAAGAAACTTTTGTTTGCACCCCCTGGCTCAGTGCTCCCAGTTTGTTTCTTACATTTGAATCCTTCATTTACAGCCAGGTTGTTAAAGTTGGTAAAAACAAACTGATTCATTTGCAAATCTCATAAACCCTTATTATATCCCCAGTGGAACATASAAAACAAATCAAATGTTTGCTTTAAAAACTGTATTATTATTATTATTAGGAAATAATTTGACATCAGCAACAGTTTGTTTAAAAAGAAGAGACCAGTTTTTGAGGGACTGTTTTCCCATTCTTGTGCTGCAGTTCTGGGTCTTTGATAAATTTGTTCCATAATGTGCCAAACGTTTGGATGGGTTTATGAGATTTACAAACCATTTGATTTTTTTTTATTTACATTTTATACTTAAATCAGCCTCTCTTACACTCCACACTTAAGCCTATGTCTTCATGGTCCAGTCTCACCTGGACTCCCCTCTGGTCCACACAGTCTTTGGTTTCCTTTGATAAAATGCAGCCACTCAAACCTCTGCGACATTATTTTCTATCCAAGGCAAACACAACAGAGCAATGGGCAAATAAGTCAAATAAAATCAGGAAATTCTCACCATCCTCTGCCATGGTGTCCAAAACATGAAGAGACTCTCAGCCAGAGTCTGTAAACCAAGTCCATGGTCCAGCTCCGTCTGATTTCGATGATTAGAGTTGCCATTTTAATGGATACATTATATATTTTTAAAGTGCCTGTGAAATGCTTTTTCTTCATTTACAAAAAAATTGAAGAAAATATCCTAATATTTTAGAAATTTGGCATAATTCATATGATTTTTACCCAGTTTGTCACAAAACATGCATATTTTTTGCTAAATTTGGTGCCGTCCAAGTGAAACAGGAAGTGATGTCTAAGGGGAACGCTTAAAAAAAGGGTAACTTCCTGGTCTTTATAAATCTTACTTTTCTTTATCTGATAATGACTCAAAATAATCTACAGCAACATCTGATTCTTTGCAGTCTGTTGTTAGCTGTTGTAACAACCCATTCAGACATTCCTCTTTGACATCACTTCCTGTTTCTGCTCATGCGAATATCTCAACAACTGCTCATCTCAGTGTCGTGAATATTTGTTTGCAATTCATCATTACTGTTATCTTTCCAAATATGCACTCAAATATGTCACCTAAATTTAATGTCACAGGTACTTTAAAGGGGCAAAATCATGTAAAATCAACTTTTTTGAGTTTTATGTCATGTTATAATGTTATACTCTCATAAAAAACATGACCAAAGCCTTGCTTTGACTCATTCATGCATGTTTGAGAAATCCTGCAGTGTTTTTAGGAAGCCATGCTGAGGAGCAAAACAACAGGTGGGGACCAGAAACGCCCCTGGGACGTGTCTTTAAGCCGAGCTTCCTCATGGCAGAGCGCACCCCCTCCCCGCTCCCCAAACACCCCGCCCATGACCCCTGCAGGCTCCGGGTGAAACTGAAAGTGAAACTTAAAACTGTCTGCTGAGCTCCTAACATTAGTTTTCACTCAGTGAAGCTCTTTTCAAATTAAAAATACCTTTGAGGAAATGTATTTTTAGATGCCAAATAAACTGCATCATGACAGCCCCCCCCCCACACACACACACACACACACACACACACACTGAAATGGGCGAAACAGAGAAGATAAGTTTATTTTCTATTTAAACATAAAAACAGCATTTTAATAACAACTAAAGGTGACATGGATACTTTATTATGGTATAGTATTTAAATATATGCCTGAGAAACATAATATTGCCCCTTTAAGTAATAAAGAACAGAAATGAATGTTGTGGTTGTGAGGTTGTGTAGGAGATGCTCTCGTGATTGACGTCTCTCTCTGCCCAATCAGTGACCTGCAGCTGGACTCATTTGGGACCTCGGCTGATTAGGTTCTAATTTTACATCGTACTCCAGAAGTGGGAAGTGGTAATGATGTAACTTCCCAAAAAAACRTATGAAAGAGTATTCCAGTTAGCCCACAGGTGGTTATATTGCTGCCGCTAACCTAGCTACAACACTGCTGCAATGTAAACAATGACAAAAAGAGAACTCCACTGCATATAAACATTAATTTTAATAGTATGCACAAAAAGCGCACTACTTGTTCGATTGATTAAACATGCACAAAAACATTAAGAACGGAAATTAGCAGAAAAGTTGCAGAGTTAGGTTTCTAAAGCTGCGAGTAGCCGCCATCTTGAAATCGAAACTGAGGGTAGTCGCAGTCGCTCCCACCGTACRAATGAGATTTASCACTGGAGGGTTCCAGTTTAAATTTACGAATGGGAGCAAGAAAACTTCCATATCCCAGTGCTACTGGAACGCAAYGTAAGAACCAAGCTGGAAGAGGGGGTTGAGCAAAGACTGGAACTGAGCAGGGCCGGATCGGGCTGAGTCGGGCCCGTGGAAAAAGGCCAGTAGTGTTTTTTTCTCTCTCTCTGCAGAAACTGTTCTGATCCCAACAGAAAAACAATGTTCCTCTATTGTGCAATACAAGCACAGTCTGCCCTCATGTGCTCTTGCTAAGCAACCGACCTRGGTGACTTTTTTTTAAGCGGGGAGTGAGGGAGGTGGGTTTTCATTTCCTGCGTTGTCGCACTGGATGATGGGTCTGCATGAAGAGGAAGACAAAAAGAGTGAAAGGCAGTGAGATGGAGACRGAGGATAGGCAGCTAAAGTGTGCACAACAACAAACAAGCATCAACCCGGGGGCCGCGCACGGATGTGAGACAGGCAGCTTGGTTCTGTCCRTGTGACACGAGCCACGTCTCATATGTCAGGCTGACAGAGAGCAGAAAGATCACTGCACGAATGTAATCAAGCACCACAAGTGGCTTCTTTGCTTTAAGGAAAATTCCACCTAAAGCCCACCTGCTCTGTTGTGTTTGTTGCCATGTTTTACCTCCAACGAGATTTTCTGTTTCTGTTAGCCAGTGTTACRGAGTGCAACGAGTGCCAGGTGCAAACATAAAAACAGTGTTTGGAGAAGTCGTTCTCTCTATTAATAAAAAACTAAATGAGATTAGCATTCATTTATCTCCCTCCACTTTGCATGCCTAACTTTTAAATAAAGCTCATGTGTCATCTGTTAGTTATAAAATAATCTCAGCTTCTTCCAAACCAAATTTTAGCTCAATATCTAAGTTATGACAATTTTTGGGGTTTGCAGAAAATATGTAGCTGTGGCGGCCATTTTGAATCAAGTTCACTCCATAAATTAATCAGTTGTTTTTTGCAGCACAGGCGAGCAAAGGCACAAATGTGGGGAAAAAATGATCAATCTTTGTATGTGTTGGCTTGTAGTAAAAAAAAAAAAGTCAATCCTACGTCAGCTAATAGACTTGAAACCCTCCCATTTTTTTATTTTCTAACAGAATGAAAATAGTTTGTAAATCTGTGCTCACAGTCTACAAAAACTGAATCCCCAAACCAATWTATTTATCTCTGTATCTGGTACTGACAGAGCTCCTTAGATCTGACAAAAAATATTAATATTAATCAAATCTTCCATTTCCMTGTCTGAAGCTGTATCTAAAATAAAACTTTTATTCATTGTCATCAATACTAAATGATAAAAAACATCAAGTAGGTTTTAATACAATAGCTCTTGTTGACWAAATGTTTTGTAATTTTTAATCACGAGTGTCTGTTTCCATGATGATGTTGATGACAACAAAACCAAAAAGCCTTCTTCTCTGTAAACTAACTRTTCTTATCTGTCCTGTTGAATAATCCGACCCTTTAAACCATCATCCTGTGAGTGTTGGGAAACAGGCTCTGCACTTTGTTTTTGTTTTTTGTTTTGTTTTGTTTGTTTTTTTCATTTTAAATCACGTAAAATTGGTTGAATGATTTAAAACCTGCAAAGTTTTTGATTCGTTGTGTCTGACTTGGGTATAAAAAGAAGTCTGAGAACTCTGATTTGCCTGAGATCATCGACTCCTGATGTGGAAGCAGGAAATAAAAGCTCCTCCGTGTTCATTCGTCGTTTGTTTGTTTGTTTGTGTTTTAAACTGAGAGCTCGAGCTTCGATTCAGACAAAAAAAGAACCCCCTACCCCCCAAATATCACGTACCGGGACCAAGTCTGTAGACAACATTTTAACAAAAAGCTGTTGTTGTTGTTCTTTGTTTGATTTTATTCTTATTTTTTACTGGTGCTGACATATATGTGATTATGAGAAAAAGTATATAAAAGATAATGGCTATTTGTAAATATGTTTTTACAGGTTTAAATACATCAGATATTACAGTCTCTGTAAAGAAATTACTGTTTGTTGGAAAATAGAGAAGTATTTTTATTTTCAATTTTTTTTGTTTCACTTTTAACCCATCTGAGCTATGCCATTGCACTTCAGACAATGTCTTACTACTAATTTGTATTTGTAAACCTCCTCTTTTTTATTTTTATTATTTTTAACTTTAAGATATGATTCAATTCTTAAGCAGTGCTTACTTCTTTTTATCCTGTACAGAAAAATGACATGTTAACAAAAAGAAAATTACAAAATACTTCTTTTTTTTCTTTCATTCTTTTTTCTTTCCTTTTTTTTCAAAAAGATACAATAAAGAGAGAATGTTCTCGCTGGTCATATTAAACAAACTTTTCTGTTTTATGTGTTTCTTATAAGTTCATAAATATACTGTGTAACGTATAAACAAAAATATAACTAAAGGTCTTCCATTCTCAACACATTTCATTCTGTTTTGTGTTGAGAAACTACAAAGTTGTGATCAAAACTTGGAAATTCTTTTCGGCACAGTGTCCTGCTCAAAGTTTGCGTTCGGGATGACTCTCAGCTACTACCACGCCAAAATGTAGTTCAATATCTGTAAAATTCATAAAGTTGAAGCTTTATTTGTGTCGTTAAAATCCATCTACTGGTTTGTGAGATATTTTGCTAACAGGACAGGTAAATCTTAAAAAAAATAGCTAAATAATGTGAATGTAGTTCTACTGTGTTACTGACTTCCTGTTACACAGAACCAGAACATCTTCAGCACCATCCTCCTCATCCTCTGTCAGCCTCCTCTTCCTCATCCCTCAGCTTCCCTCTCTTGTTCCTCCCGTCCACCCTCTGCCC